CTGATTTCGAACCAGATGATAAGCCTTTAATAAAGTCAGAGTGCACTTATCCTGACCATGTAGCAGATTACGATAGGTATGATTACGTTCTGTAAATCCATTGAAACAATGTAATCCTCGAGGCGAAATTAAGGTGACCATTAAATTCAAATAATGTAGTTGATAACATCGACCTCTAAGATTTTAAAAAATGCTCCTAGATGGTGCTTCAACTGCCTTGCTAAAAATTCATGCATCAACTTCATCATCCAAAGGATAAGTGGAGAAATGTCCTGTAAATTGGTCATCGTGTATCAAAATGCCCTCCTTCATTACCATTTTAGAATTAAACGTGAAGCAAAATTAGAGCCTGGGATTGAAATTAACTCGACAGCAGACTCGGTTGACCAGATGAAAATTGAGTTCCAACGGTCTGAAAAACTGGAAGAAAAACTACTGCTCAACAGCACAAATTTTGAAAACGTGGACGCCTTAGGGCTGCACGAAGAATTTGACATTAAGACTGAGAGTGAACACGATCTGATGTCCTATAGGTAACTCTCCTTTAATCATCTATGCTCTGTTACAGAATGATATGCGAATTTCTGGTTTAAATATAAAACACAAAAATAATACCACACTAAAAAAATGTCATATAGTGTATAGTGTCCCCTTGGTACAAGCAGACTACTGGAAATCAGGTTCTTATTCTATAAATAACTTTTGAACAGCACTGCAAAATTTGCACCCCATGCAATTCTCAAACATTCTGAATTTATATACATAGACAACACTCTTGTTCAACAGCTGATGCTACTTGCTTTTAAAACTTTTATTTATGTGTTTAGTCAAGACAGAAATTAATATAAATGTATTCCTAACACTGTAGTTTGCTGACTTACTTGGATATTACTATCAGAAAGTGTGATATTTTGTGGTATATCAATCACTCATTGCTTTGTCCTAAATATTATTAAATCAGTTTTGTCATCATTTAGTACAAGTTTATTCATTGCAAACCATTTCTGAAATACCTGCTGACCCATATGTTCCAATCCAGTGGTGTTTTTGTCGCTAATGAGATGCTGGTATCATCAGCATAATTAATTATTGTAAAGTCATAATTCTTAATGCTATCTCTTAGATCATTGATGAATATGACAAACAATATATATAATATATATAATATGGGATCTAACACTCTGCCCTGTGGTATACCTGCCGCATCACAAATGAAATCTGACTTGCTGATATTATGTTTTTTATTGCTACACATTGTTTCCTGTTTGTAAGAAGGGAATGTATACTCAGTGACATTAGAAGTGTTACACTCAGAAAAAATATTTTTTTTAACCTGTTCAGAAAGTAGTAGTCTTACATCAATAATGAAACGGTAACATTCTCATGAAATTTCCTTTGACAAGTAATAAGAAAAAAAATAATGTGCTGGGCAACCCCGCAGCTGAATACGCTCCTGTAAAGTCCGTAGTATGACGAGCAATATGGGGACGTGCGTTGTCTTGCTTAAAAGGACGTGTGGATGGCCCTCTAGATACGGCAGTAAAGTCGTTTGTAAGGCATCGTCAACATAACGCGCAGCAGTCATGTTGCCTTGAACAAAGAGAAGGAGTGATCGGCTACTATAGGTAATAGCCTGGTGGGCAACCATCACTCCAACATTCCTGTGTACAGCAAATTCAATATCACGCCGTTGTCCACGGCGGCGTCTTACCCTTCTACGGCCCGTCGTGCGTACCTAGACAGAATCGCGATTCGTCGCTGAATATGTCATTATGCCATTCTGCCTCCCAATGTTGTCGTTCTGTGCTTCAGTTCAAACGTTGACGACAGTGGTCCGCAGTCAGATGAAGCACTAACCGTGAACGGTTTGAAAAAAGTCCAAAGGCTCGAATACGGCGATAGAGTGTACGCATAATAACAGGTCTACCTTCTGCAAACCATTGGTCAGCGATCTGACGCGTAGCTGCAAAACGGTCTCGTACGCCTAGTTGTTTGAAGCGCCTATCGTGACGCTCTGTGGTAGGCCTCGGCGGACCAGTTGGCCTTCTTCGAGTTCCTCTCCCTTTTATCCACACACGACACACACGCACTACCGTCATTGCAGTACAATTACCACGGCGGCCAATTTCGCGATAGGACAAACCTTCATCTCGATATTGTCGTCGCTAACATGGTGTTAATTTGGACGTCATCGAACTCGAGGCATTTTGTTATGATTAACACTAGTAAATGAAAGGGCAATAACTGAAAATATGAAACGTCACGCCACAGCATCTTTAAATATAGTCATTATGTTGCCAAAAAAACAAGTTGAAGATATTTTTTCTTCTAATGTCACTAAGGGTTGTCTCGAAAGTAAGGTTCCCGACGCCCTCGTTCCATTTCTGTTCAATTTGTCAAATGGAATGTTATGATTTAATCTGTCATATGCTATAGAAAGGTCAAGATATAACATTCAATGCAAATTTGAGATTGATTATTGAAATAGATTAGAAATGATTAATCTCTTTTTTTCAGCGGCCAGATAGAGGAGAGTTGGAAAATGGAACAAAAATATTCGCACATCGAAGAAGAAAAAGAGTTATTTAGCTGCTATATTTGTAACTATTTGTGTTATTCTGAAAAGGAATTAAATGACCATATCAAGGAGAATCATTCGGCATCGAATTTATCAGGGCACATGTTGAAACACACCAATTCAAAAACTTTTGATCAGTACATATGCAAACATTGTAATAAGTCATTCAAAGTGAAGCTGTCGCTGTTTGACCATATTCTAAAGAAGCATCCCAACTTTAGCGGGACAGTTCCTAGTAAGATACATGAATGTATGCATTGTGCATTCAAAACAACCGGTAGGAATATTATTAAAAGGCACATGGTAACACATGATACTCACAAGCACTTTGAGTGTACAAACTGTGAGGCATCATTTAAAACTAAGCTATGTTTAGATGACCATATTTTAAGAAAACATGCTGAGTTTACCGCTTCTGTGTCTCATAAAATACACAAATGTGCAGAATGTGAATATAAAACTACCTTCCCAGACTCCTTAGCTAGGCATATCATGAAGCATACAGGAACTAAGCTCATGTGTACAAAGTGTCATGCGTCATTTACAACCAAACTACGGTTAGACAACCACGTTTTAAAGGAGCATCCTGGATTTACTGCTTCTGTATCTAGCAAGATACACGAATGTACACATTGTGAATATAAAACTACATACGGGAGGGACTTGGCTGGGCATATGATGAAACATACTGGAACTGAGCACACGTGTACACGGTGTGATGCTACATTTACGAAGAAATTATCATTAGAAAACCACATTTTACAGAAGCATCCAGACTTGGCTGCTTCCGTGTCTAGTAAGATACATGAATGTACACGTTGTGAATATAAAACTACATACAAAAATTATTTAGCTGTTCATATGATGAAACATACTGGAGCTAAGCTTACGTGTACAAAGTGTGATGCGCCATTTATTAAGAAAATAACATTGGACGACCACATTTTACAGAAGCATCCAGAAATGATTGCCTCTGTTTCTCGTAAGATATACGAATGTACACGTTGTGAATATAAAAGTACTGAAGCGCGACATTTAGCTAGGCATCTCATGAAACATACTGGAGCTAAGCTTTCGTGTACAAAGTGTGATGCGACGTTTATACTTCAACGGTCACTGGAGCACCACGTTTTACGGAAGCATCCTGAGTTTACTTCTTCTGTGTCCAGCAAGTTACATGAATGTACACAGTGTGAATATAAAACTATACACGCGCCATATTTAGCTAACCACATCATCAAACATACTGGATCTAAGCTGACGTGTACAAAGTGTGATGCGTCATTTGCAAGCAAACAATCGTTACACAACCACATTTTGCAGAAACATCCCGAGTTGGCTGCTTCCGTGTCTAGCAAGATACATGAATGTACACAGTGTGAATATAAAACGACGTTCACGCAATACATAACAAGACATAAAGCTAATCATATGCGAAAATAGATCTTGAAGATCCATTATTCTGAATGCGTGCCGTGTGCCACGTGTAATTTCAACAAATCTTTTTTGAAGTAGTCTATAATTTATTACTTTGTTTTCGTTTGTTTTTTTTATGTGTTATTTTTGTATTATATTTTATCGTTCTCCAGACGTGTGTAAGGACATTTGAGTACAAACATGAAAAAATGATTAGTATTTCATAATTTTTTAACCATCTTATTTTATTGTTCCTCTAAATTTTAAAATAGTTTTATCAAGTTTTTTTTACCTTTTATTGCCACTTTGTGTTTTACGTTTGTCTTTTTTCGTATTGTTTGTTACTTTTACTTACTCTTTTATGTTCTACTTTAAATGACCTGTGCAAACACATTTTTGTGTAATAGTACCAATAAATTATTATTATTATTATTATTATTATGTTATCTGACGTTTACCTTGAATTGTCTTATTTTTAATAAAAAAGCACTAACGTTATTAAAAAATAAAGTAACTAAATGAAACGAAATTCCAAAGAACGAGCAGACGTAAAAACTTGAAACTACCACTACCAGCTTCTTTTGTGCATTGTGGACAGAAATATATAGAATCCCTCCATAATTTTTGCGCTTCCCAACAATATTTATATCATCGCCTTGTCGCTTTCCCTTTCAAATCTTTTTGGCAAAATTCTGGGATGAGAAATCATGATAGGTCGTGCTTTTGGAGCAGGTGGTAACAAGGATTCCATAATAGATAATCTGAAATCGTAAAAATTGCTTTCCCGTCGGCTTTTGAATAAATAGCAAGAGTTTATAAGCATACTAAACAAGACTGAACGCGCCTATCGCGATGACAGTGTTAAACGAATATAACTGTATTTACTAATTAGCATTCATTTATGTACACGTATTTAACTAGTACACTTCCGATTTCGCATTTATTTTAGCTAATGATTTTGTTGTTTGAGGACGTGATCTCAATTCAAACTAAGCACAATTTTTTGCTGTACATATTTATATTTCTTCATTGTTTTACAGAGTTTTTATGTACATTTCAAATTGTGTTCGAAATAAAGATGTATAAATAATACACGTCTTTCTATCGCTAAACCAAAACTTTATTAAGTAAATACAGAGTTGTTCAAAAAAGCAATACTGGATTGGAATCACCATGTTGATGTGGTAGCACTCCTAAGGGACACCCTCGAAATTCTTTGGTGTCTAAAAAAAAAATTTAATCAAATATTGAACTTTAAAAAAAAGTAACATTTTGTCATGTAGATAAAAAAATTTGTAACCTGTTAGTAGTGTCCATCTTGTGGTAGCCACTTCAATTTCTTCAACTGGTGGTTCAGTCTTTATCACTGGAACTTCAGGAACATCATCAATTTCAGGTAAATCATCTACGGTTGCTAAAGAATTGTCCCATGACATATTTTGCTTTGACAGTAACTTTGATAATAACTTTCTGGTTTCTTCTATGTAGTCTTCATTTTTGCCACCGTAACACAGCATACTAAAAACAAAGTAAAAAATGATTTTCTCAGCACCAACTCTCTAGCCGGTATTTTATGTTGCGTTGAAACATTGATTTACCTGATGGCCGTATCGTCAAAATTGTAGAATGCCTTTATGGCTTCCTTGATTTTCATACTTTTCTACTGTTACGTGGCAGCGCTCTACTTTGAGGTTATGTTACAAATATCTATTCGCATCACATTGTTCATGCTTTTGATTTATATCTTCTGAAATCTCTTACGATTCAAAAAGAAAACATAGCCTCACAATAATAGAGCACCGACGCTGACACGAAACAGTAAAAATCTAGAAATACCTCGGACTTTATGAAGGAGAAAAAAGACTATGAAAATCAAAGAGGCCATCAAATCATCCTACAATAACTGTAGAAACGACTGAGGATATGGCCCTAAAAATTCAATGAATAACATATTCTGCCAACCCAATATTACATCCCTAAAAACTTACAAGTACTTTTTTATTTTCAGATTTTCACTATGTTGATTTAAGTATGAAACACCCTGTATAGGGACTTGTTTGTTTTTTTTGTGTACTTTCTATTATATTTTTCTGAATACAATATGGGTTGGGTATCTTTTCAAATAATCAACGATAAACCTGAGAATCCATTTAAATAAAAATTACCTTTCTAGATAGTTGAATACATATTCATTGGGTGAATTCAATACCATGTCCTCAAATGTTTGTACCTCCTCCACTGGTACCTGATTCAATGATTTGAATTTAATCTTGCGTTCAATTTCTCCTTCAGACATATTTTCTTCCTTTTTCACGTATTTCTTACTGATTAACCCTTTGAAGATTTCATCAATCCACAAAGAAGCCACGTTTCTGAGAGGACTTGACATCAAGGAATCGCCAGTAAACTGATACAGTTTACCCAGGAGTGGAATCAGCAAGTTATAATCATTGAGAATGTCCAACAAGTCAATCCAAATATCCCTGAACGATGACGGTATTCGCGTGGAGTCAAGTTCTGGCATTACACCGAGCATAAAATCATTGGAAACCAATACCTCTACATTTTTTTCCATAGCTGTTTGATTATTTGGATCTGAAAGCAATTGACGAATGGTTTCTTCTAATACTGACTTTATTGTGTTCGCGTCCAGTTGATCTGGTCTCACTTTGTATTTCCTTTTTACGAGATTGCTCAATTTATTCATATATGCGCCACTTAGAACTTCATCGTTTTGATTGTGGATATTCAGGATCAGCCTTAAAAATTAAAATGAAGTTTTGAACAAAAAAAAAGTATATATGTATATAATTTGCATTATATTAACTCTCTCTTGAACGGGCGCGGACACGATAAAATCTTCTCCTAACCGGACAAAAAAATAAATAAAACGCCATCTTCGTTAGGGCTTTCGCGAGTAAACATGGAATTTACCGACCGACCGAATTATGGACTTCTCCGAGTTGGTCGGGGATTTACCAATCTTATTCTTTGGGTGCTTTCCATTCAGTATTAATCTGACGGAAAGGACACCATTGAGCGACACATTCGTGGTAGAAATGGCACCAAATTATGACTGAGTGGTTGCAAGACCTAGATTGGAAAATGGCTAAAGAAAAAAGACCATTTTGTTCCAGTTTCTTCAATATTTTTAGTTTTCATTAAAAACACGATTTTTGTTGTATTTCCTTTTCAACACTTTCAACTGGTCCATCCAAAGGAAATTTAACTGTTGGAGAATAATATATGACTAACCTTGCATACAGTTTTATAACTTCTATAATTTCTAAGCCAAAGTGTTCTTCATACACCTCATAGTCTTGCACTAACTCAAACTGTTGTTCCCAGTATCGTTCCTTTAACCACCTTAGCGCCGTTTGCAGACCTACTTTTAAAATGTCTTTAGATGGCAATTTGTGGGCGTGCGCCACATCATGCCTAATGTCTATCAGCCATTTTGGGATATCGTGTTTCTCTACTGAACGTGTAAAGGCACCTTGTCGATCTGTATTGGCGGCACAAAGATTCAAAAACCTAGAAATGTTGATTAATAACAAATACAATTCTCACTGAAAACAACTGCAACCCAACGTGACGCATGTATTTGAATGAAATCTTTCTCACTAAAGATATGGCAACCTGCGCAGTCGCTTAGTTGTTTTCAGTAAGAACGCTAAAGCAATGCAACCACAGTTGAAGTAGAGTTGCAATCGCGTTTTGATACATTCAATCTTTACCTCATTATTGATAATGCGTAGATTTGAGAGATCTGAGTTTCAGCTAGTTCACCATCTTCCAACAGCAAGGCCTGCAAGACTATCAAAGTTCCTTCTAGACCAGCGGAAAGGTGAGGTGTTCGACTTTTCCATATTTCCAGTATTCGTAAAGCTGTACTATAATCTGTTTCACTTCCTGCGTGTAGGCTGTAGTAGACTTTTCTCCATTCTAACCTACCGGAACGATACCACTTTAACAACTTTAGTCAATGAGAATTTTAGAAAGTACATACGAACTGAACCAAGGAACGAACACCTTCCCACTGTGTTTTTGTGATAAGGCCATGATTTTCTACACAAAACCTATACAACGACCCTTGCGTAAAAGGCTGCTTGTTTACTGTCAAAATCGAGTTATAACCTAACAAAAAAGAGATTGACTCTAGCCAATAGCTATTGGCCAACGGCGCTAACCAATACTATTGGTCAAGGGCGCGGATAGCGAAGAACCAATGTGGATTGAGAGCAGGTGTTGATACTCATATCTCTCAGATAAATGTATACCACTATCATTTATGCAGGTGGTCGTGTAACGCGACAATGTCACTCAAAAAGGCTCGTTGGATGCTAATAAGCATGAGCCTTATCAACATTTTAAAATTTGCCGGAGTGCTATTATCTGTGAATGAAATTTTTTTCGTTTTGTGGACCTTCCCCGTCGTATTATGGTAAATGTTGCTCGAATAGAAAGCAAAACCATTAATAATCTGGATGTAAAAAATGATCAGCTTTCAACACTATGAATAAGCCAGAAAAAGCTTATTCTAGAATGTAGCGTAAGACTGATAATTAAAATGTACTAATGGGTAATCACCCGGCAGTTTGGTGAATTACTAGCGATATTGTCAATTGTATCCATGTTTTAAAACTTTTAAAATCAGTGACCTTGCATGTGCTTGCTGTGCCTGAAAAATTAGAGAATCAATGAAGCTCACTATTGGATGCAAATTCTATTGTGAAGTTAGTATACACATTTATCTAGAATCGGCTCATAATCGTTAGCGCTATCTATCAGCAAGGAACAGCATATACTATCATGAGTTATAACACCTTTTTTCAATCCACCTTTAACCGTCACCCATTCAAAGGCGACGCCATTGTTGCCGTATCGGGGGATTTTCCCCCAAATATGGGGTTTTTATGCAGCTTAGGGAATTTTTGGAAGATTTTTTAGGGCATAAATTTAATCGTTGGGTATGTTATTCCTTCTTTAACTACTAAAAACAGTCAACTGCTAAGAAACAATTTTATCTTTCTGTAGCTTTTTCTTCCTCCATGTCGCATCCATCTCCATCTACGCTGACCCATCATGTTTCGGGAGAAAGAACTAAACGATTACTATTTTTCGCTGCGATTTTGCACGTATTTGCTCGTGTGTTTGTTCGGGAGAACTCTGGCAACACTGAGCGACGCCTGGAACTCCCTTCATCACTCTCCAAAACAGCTGAAATTACATAACATTTGACAGCTACTTGACATTCGTGTTTAACCTAAAAGTAGGTTTTGCATCGATTTTTGTATTTATTACTCTCATACATTAAAAATTGGATTCAACAATTTGCGCATTCTGTGTTTACTTTCTCTAGACGGAATATCACAAATGGGCTCAGAACAATCTACCCAAGGGGCCCAGAGGCAGGGCAGCTTGGATAAACAGAAACAAATAAACATACGAAGACAACATACTATCGCTAATCCCAGCTCTTCTGTCTCAGACGAACCTGAAGCAGATGGTGGAAGACCAGGATCTATTTCCCCAGGGCCCAGCTTATGTAGTGATATAGATTTACCATACATTAGTTACACCGTAAACAGACCGATCGGGGGTGAGCTTACAAAGGTTTTAAATTTATTCAAATATGTCAACGTATTCGGACTATTCGAATTCGTTGTTGAATGTGGAATATTACTTATCTGATTCTTCTTAAAATAAAAATTATTCTTGGGCTTTCCAATAATTTCTAATCTCATTTGATCACTTTAGTTTTGGCAATCTGATGCACGATTTCTGCTTAAAAAAGTAAAAACCGTTTTTCTGCATTATCATTACAATGTGACAATACCACCGTACAGATAAATCGGTTTTATTTTTTAGTATGTTCATGCTATTATTTCAGATTCACCAAAGCTGGCTAACAAGCAACTGGTAAAACCTAAAACAACCAGAAAGGTACAGCAGATAAAACAGTTAAAGTCCAAATCGCCGCACAACATTGTGGTTGTTAGAGGTGGGAGTATCCCAACACCTGGTACAGAAAAAGATCCAGATATTGTCAGGTTGCAAGGTATCAGAATTTTGAAGTTTTTGTAGGAAAAGTAGCCTCACATTTGAAAACAAAAACAACTTAAGTGAGACAAATCTAACAAAAAGAAGCAGAACAAAACTACTGGGCATTTGAACTACTGGACATTTGAACTACTAGTACATTTGAACTACTGGTACATTTGAACTACTGGTACATTTGAACTACCGGTTATCATCAAATTAAAGGGTTTGATGAGAGTACATAATAAGTAGAGTGTCGTCATTCTAGATCCAATAAGGCTGCCGCCGCAAAATGGCGATTTACATTTTTCGCAATTCTAGATCCAAAATGGCGATTTACGTTTTTCACAGTAACCCCTACGATATGGGTATCAAATAAAACGGTTTGATGAGAAAAATGCGATAATCAAAGTGATGTCATTCTATATCTAATATGGCGTCAGCCGCTGAATGGCGATTTTTAATTTCCATGGTTACCGCTATGATTTGGGTATCAAATGTAAGAAAGAGAAACACGATAAGCAAATAACGTCATTCTAAATTCCATATGACGATCCCCGCTAAATATCGATTTATCATTATAATGTTCATTTCATGAAATCAGTTTATTTCTAACTTCATTTTCTTCCTGTCGACAGGTATTCCGATGTTTTTGCCTATAATGAGGGCGACATTGAGCTTACCTGCGGCTAGAGATCCAGAAATATTAGAAAGGTTAGATCCCACACCTCTAAGAAACCTTTGTTTGAGATACCAACATCATTTGACGTCAGCCGCAAATTTAGTTGCCACAGAGCAAAATCAACTGACACAGAAAGTACGAGAGGTAAGTATGATATTGCACATTTATAGTCAACCTAAAAAAATGCTAACATGAAAAAAAAAATAGGGGCTGAACAAAATTATCGGGAATTGTGACTTGAGCTGCTGATAAAAATAAAGAAAATTTTGATGACAATTTACTCTGTGTGGGTGCCATTTTTAATCGGATAACAGTCTTATTCATAATACTGTATACAGGGTGACTTTGAAGTTGAGTCATTAGTTTTCAGATAATGATTGTAGAAGGAAGATTAAACCAAAATATGTGTAAAAATAAAAAATAAATTAAAAAAAAAATTTACCTTGTTTTATAAAGTATCCTCCCGACAAGTATTTCAGTGCGGACCTGTATTTGATCGTGAGGTCTTGGAGCACCGGCATGCCCTCCCTGTGAGGTCTTAAGTCACCTGATTCACGAGCCCGTTGTACTACATTAACAAAGGCACGAGGGGTTGGTTGCACTCGATTGGGAAACCGATCCGCATAAACATGTGCCATTTTTTCTTTCGTTTGAGCCACGCAGCGAACACCACTATTCACTCACGCGTTACCGACTGACACATTGACTGAATAAAAACATCGTGATCAGCGTTTCAAATTCTTTCGCTTTTTTGTTTCCGATGCGATGAACCGTAAGGCGGATTATATCCGTTGTTGCCAAACACGAGCACATAATATTATTATTGAGACAGGGCGGTACTCAAACTTCTAAAGGGCTATAACTTTGTTACTTTAATTTTACCAGAAAAATGTTAAAGGAAAAAAACATTTCTTTTGATCAGATCTACTCACTGTTAAAATAAATTACTCAACTTCGAAGTCACCCTGTATAGTAGGCAATCATTTAACCAACATTTTTAAAAGTATCTCAGTTACCGTACGAAAATTAAATGATTTCCTTTTTTCTAGACTGACATGGAGGTAGCCAAAATCGTGTCCGTCACAATAGAAAGACAGAAAAAGTTTGCAAAGTATGCTGAAAAGCTGTCGAAAGTGCAGGAGCTGTCACATCAGTTGAACAGATGTCACATGCTGCTGAATCAGCTTTTAGAATCGATGGAAACTTTGAATAATCATTTAGACATCGAGGATAGGTTAGAACCGTTCGTTTGGACGACTGGATGAGACTTGGAGAATGAAAACCCTGAGGGGAACGTACAAGAAGATACGTAGACTTTGGGATTGCATCATGCGGATTGCGAATACGTTGGTGTACAGCGTGCTCAGAGAAGGATCAATAAATGATAATAAAATACAAACTTTTTCAAAATCATATCTTTGAAACAAAGGTCAGCCTTTAAAATAACATTTTATTTTTGGCGGCAATAGGCAGACGCAGTTGATACCTAATGAATCAGTATAATTTCTCTACTTATTGGCAAAGCTTTTTGACTGTAACATAGAGTAGTTTTCTTAAAATCCTATATTTTTGTTTGTCGTAAATCAATCGCACTTTGGACGCGTTTTCTCGGTTTGCGGTTAGCTGCTTGGCCTGTGTGGTTTCACTCATTCATTACACGGTATTCCCACAAAACATTTTTGATCAATGATTTTTTTTATACGTGTGTGGCCGAAGCTTCGATCGAACCCTAATTTTCAAAAAAATTGATTATTTGCCTCGGTGATTTTGCATGGCCACTGCCACGACCAGATTTGCCCCCACTGGATTTTTCCCTATCGGCGGTATTTCAAGAGCAAAATTGAACCTGCCAAGCTACGCCATTATGCACAATGCGATGAACAGTTTCCTTGAGAGTATCTGAAACAAAATGGTAAAAGAAAGTCGCAATTCTGGAGACTAATTTCGATAACATTTCTCAACATGTGTCGTATTTCTTTGAATTTAATTTGAAAATTCTAGATCTCTGGGACTCTTAACCTAGGTATGTAATGTACTATTTATAAACTTAAACCAAAGATTTTCCACCCTATAACTCAAATGGATTATTGTATGTATGAATTCTTTTATGTTGTATATTATATGCAGGGTGTCATTTATTTTAACAGCTTGTAGTGCTCGTCAAGCTGTATATAGCATTTATTTGTAAATGTGGTTTTATAGTTTTGTATCTCGATTTTAAAGTATTATGATTGCCAGAATGATACTGGTATTAGGCTATGAACAAATAAGTGTAACTTTATAGAAATAAAACCGTGCAAAGCGCCATCACTGGGTGCGCCATCTATTACTTTTTTTACCTATAGTTTATGTGTTACCATGTGAGTCAAAAGTCATGTGGAATGCATAAATGAACTGTCAAAGGTATGCCATTTATTCAAACTTATTACGAAAACGGTCGCATGACTGATGTTATTTTTCATACATAAATGGCATAAACCAACCTTCATTTATCAATAAAAAAAATCGATTTCACCTCGTAAAAAGCGTGATGATTTTTCTGATAGAAAAAAAGTAATAGATGACGCACCGCTGTTATTTTTATATCATCACATATTTTGCTTGAATCAATGTTTGTTTAATAAAGACTATTTATCTCGTTGACATTTTTTGTTGGGTACATTCAAGGTATGTCTCCACTTGAGAAGTTTTTGCAACGCGTTGCGTCAATTGAAGCGTCATGTCGCCAAGCAAAATGAAAACGTTCCTTTAGGCGTTACGTACTAATTTCTTCGAACACGACAAAAATATTGGAAAAGCGTATTTTATGTGTAAAAGGGGTGAGTTGAATCGTTTCAAAAGGCGAAATCAAATCGTTGAAAGATATCCTATACGAGTAGCGCCATATATACTATGTGACATATAAATGCGAACACCCAGTTTAAATGGTTTTATTTTAATAAAATTTTGTATAAGTACTTAATGAAGCATAATAAGTAAATAATAAAAATTTCAAAATGATTGCACTGCTTTAAAGCCCTTTGACCTTTAATAATGTGTGGATGCACCCTGATGTGCTACGCATTCTCCAACGCGCCTAGGCATGCTTCTGATCAGGTGGTCAATGTCCTCCTGTGGTATCTCATTCCAGGCAACCACCAACTCCTCTCGAAGTGCTTCTAGAGTCTGAGGAGGACGTTGCAAATTGAGCAATCTCCTACCCATCATATCCCACACGTGCTCAATTGGAGATAAGTCGGGAGATCTTGGTGGTCATGGTAACAATGTGTCATCATTATGTTGAAAGAAGTCTATTGTGACTCTTGCAACATGTGGTCGGGCATTATCTTGTTGGAAAGTTGGATCTGCCAGGGTGTCAAGATAGGGTAAAAGATGGGGTTCTAGAACTTCGTGGATATAACGCTGCGCGTTCATGTTACCTCTGATGAAGATTAAAGGTGACCTGGAACCATAAGCTATAGCACCCCAAACCATAACTCCAACAGTGTGATGAACATGTCTTTCAACAAAAAACTGTGGATTCCTCCTTTCACCACGTCGCCTTCTAACCCTGGCACGACCATCGTGCATGCCTAAACAAAATCCAGACTCGTCACTAAAGACAATACTGTTCCATTCCTGATCCCAGAGTGACCGTTGTCTGCACCACTCAAGGCGATTACGTCGGTGTTCTCGAGTTAAAGGGAGGACCCAGGGTGGCCGGTATGAAACAAGCCAAAACTTCTCATTCGTCGGTAAACACTTCGCATGCCAATAGGTCTTCCGTGTTCTGCAAACCATTCATTTGCAATGGACCTGGTAGTGGAGAAACGGTCCCTTAAGGCCAATAATCTTAGGCGGCGATCTTCACGGTCTGTTGTTCTACGGCGGCGTCCAGTGCCCCTTGCTCTTTGCGTACGGCCTTCTCGAAGCCATGCCTGACAACACCTAACCACAGTGTCTACACTTCTTTGCACTCTAACTGCAATTGCCCGAAAAGAAAGTCCAGCTTCCCGAAGTCCCACTATACGACCCCTATCAAACTCACTAAGTTGACGAATTGTACAGGTCTCCGTACTCTAGGCATCGTAACCGATCGTAAAGGATGTCAAGAACCAAAATCCGCCAACGTTGATTCTTTACTGCGGCTGAAATATTCATTTTTAGAGCGTTAGTGAATTAAAAAAAAGCAGTATAAAAACCGGAATGTCCAACTGATAAGGCTGAACATTTTTTCACTTGTTATTTACAGTAAGAAAAATACATTCACCGACTTTTATTAAAATAAAACCATTTTAAACTGGGTGTTCGGATTTATATGTCACTTAGTATATTTGGACTAACAAAAATTCGATTTTCCGAAACAAAAATGTTCATTTTTTTCTTTGTCCTTTTTAAACAACAAAACAGTTGAATCGTCATCTGCAAAAGCATGGCAGAACGCAAAAGTGGAACCACGAACAAGAAATATCGCTCAGTCGGTCAGAAGACAGTCGAAATGAGTCACCAGCAGCGAGAGAGGCGATAGTCCAGTCGACATGGT